ACCCACTACCGCGTGTAGATGACGCGATTGACAGCCTGCAAGGAGCCGAATTCTTTTCATCTCTCGATTTGCGCTCAGGGTACTGGCAAGTACCTATGGCTGAGGGCGCTCGACCGAAGACCGCTTTTGTCACTCCCGACGGCTTGTACGAATTCAACGTCATGCCGTTTGGGCTGTGCAATGCGCCCGCCACCTTTGAGCGCATGATGGATACCGTTCTGCGTGACCTGAAATGGCACACGTGCCTGTGCTACCTCGATGACGTCATCGTTTTCGCTCCGGACTTCTCCACGCATCTTCAACGCCTGCGGCATGTTTTAACGCGTCTGAGTGACGCCAGTCTGCAACTGAACCTAAAGAAGTGCCGATTTGCAGCTTGGCAGTTGACAATACTCGGCTACGTCGTGTCCAAGGACGGAATTCTCCCCGATCCAGGCAAGCTTCAGGCCGTGACCGAGTTCCCCAAGCCGACATCCGTCAAGGAACTGCGCAGTTTCGTAGGACTGTGTTCCTACTATCGGCGCTTCAGCCGAAGTCTCGCATCTATCGTATCGCCGCTGACGAAGCTCCTCGGAAGTAACGAGCCTCTCCATTCGTGGTCATCACAGTGTGACGACGCATTCACAACGCTCTGTCGTTTGTTGACGTTGCCTCCCATACTCCGCCACTACGACCCTACGGCCCCTACAGAGGTACACATGGATGCCAGTGGTGTCGCTCTCGGCGCTGTCCTTGCGCAGCGCAAATCAGGGTTCCCGGAATATGTCGTGGCGTATGCAAGCCGTACGCTTACAAAAGTCGAGACTAATTACACTGTCACTGAAAAAAGAATGCCTAGCAATCGTCTGGGCCCTTACCTAGTTCCGTCCTTACTTGTATGGTCGCCCATTTGATGTAGTCACCGACCATCACGCACTATGTTGGTTGTCGTCATTGAAAGATCCCTCAGGCCGTCTCGCCAGGTGGGCACTTCGCCTGCAAGACTACAACATCCGCATGCTTGCCTGACGACAATGCCCACGACTCAGCGTCTCACCTTGCCATTTCTTCCATTAGCATTCATGCCGTTGCTACTGAACAGCGCAAGGATCAATGGATTGCATCACTGATAGACTTGCTGACTGATCCATCCACTCCATCCACTAGCGCGTTGCGTCGTCAAGCCCACCATTTCGCCGTTCGCGACGACCTCCTCCACCGACGCAATTACAATGGTGACGGCCGCCAGTGGCTACTAGTCATACCCCGCAGTCTGCGCTCTGACAAATGCGAATTCTTTCATTCTGATCCGCAATGTGCGCACTGTGGGGTCTCGAAGACTTACCACCGCATTCGCCAACGGTACTTTTGACGCGGCATGTACCACTACGTGCAGAAATTCGTTCGCTCCTGCATAGAATGTCAGCGACGCGAAGCTTCATCGCACCTGTCGCCGGCAGGTCTGAAACCTCTACCTTGCCCTGCCAGGCCGTTTGGGCGCGTTGGCATCGATTTTTATGGGCCACTTCCGCTAACATCGGCTGGTAACCGCTGGGCCATTGTTGCTGTGGACCACCTCACGCGATACGCCGAAACTGCCGCTCTCCCCGCGGCTACAGCAAGCGATGTGGCCTCCTTCCTGCTCCAACGATTTATGCTGCGACACGGTCCACCTCGGGAACTGCTCAGTGATCGAGGCCGCGTCTTCCTGTCTGAAGTCGTCGAAGCCATTCTCAAAGAGTGCAACGTTGTTCACCGCAAAACTGCTGCTTACCACCCGCAGACGAATGGCCTCACGGAATGCTTCAACCGTACGCTCGGCGACATGCTCTTCAAGTACGTCGCCGCCGATCACAAAAATTGGGATGACATTCTACCCTTCGTCACCTACGCATATAACACCGCCCCTCAAAACACTACTGGCTTTTCACCTTTCTTTTTATTATATGGAAGGCACCCGTCGCACACCATCGACACTATACTTCCGTACAAGCCAGATCCGTCCGAGTGGGCGCCTATTTCTGCTACAGCCAAGCTTGCTGAAGAGTGTCGTGAGCTTGCAAGAACCTTTACAGCGCATGACCAAGAGCGGCAAAAAGGCATTCGCGCTTACACCAGCACTACTGCGCCCACGTTCCTCCCTGGAGCGCTTGTCTGGCTCTCGATCCCTACCACTTCAACTGGCCTATCTTCAAAACTATTGCCCAAATACGAAGGCCCTTACCATGTCGTCCAACGCACTTCCCCTGTAAATTACTTGATCTAACCCATCGAACCATCTTCAGACATGCGCCGTCGAGGGCGCGACATTGTCAACGTAAAGCGCCTCAAAGCGTACCACGACCCGCTCATAGTAACCAGCTGTTAGGTCGCCAGGCAGCTCCCTCTTCGTACCAGGGGTAGTTGTGGTGAAGCCTTCGAACAGTGGGTTGTCCTCTCCAGCGCCTTCTAGTGGGTCGCCCTTTTAGCAAAAAGAAGAGCAGCTCGTGCAAAGAGTCGGTACCCGCATTGACTGTCGCTGTCAAGCATCATCGACAAGTGTCCGCCAATAAACGTCTAACACGCCATTTATGTTTTTTTACATTGAAGCTGTCTTATCATGGCTGCGCCGCCGTCATAGGAGTAGTAGAAGTAGTAGTATTGGTAGCTTCGCTGGTCGTAGTAGTGGTAATAGTATTAGTAGTAGTAGTAGTAGTAGTAGCAGCAGCAGTAGTAATAGGCGTGACGCATGCCACAGTACCAGAGGGGAAGGTGCATAAAAATAAATACAACAAAGTTATGACTGCGAGGAGGTGGCGGAGGATGAAGATGATCAATATAAGGCCAAGCTGTCGTAGTCCTCCCGCACATTGACATGTGCCATTACAGCGTCGCCCTCTGACGGTGTTCATGACGTGCAACTGGCTGGAATTTAGTCTAGCCCTCATTCTTTTTTTTTGTCCCAATTCAAACCCAATTTTTCCTGCTCCAGTGCGGACAAACTATCCGTATATTCGTGACCTGGCTAAACCCCCTCCCTTTCCTCTTGATACTCACTTTCAATTTCCCTTACCTCGTTCCCAAATGTAGGATAACGAACCTTTATCCTGGACTGGTTAACCTTCCTACCTTTTCTCCTCTACCATTTTATCTTCATCTTTTATTCTAAGGCTCTCTTTCTGACATGTGCCCTTACAGCGTCGCTCTCTGACGGTGTTCATGACGTGGAACTGGCTGGAATTTTGTCTAGTCCTCATTCTTTTTTTTGTCCCAATTCAAACCCAAATTTTCCTGCTCCTGTGCGGGCAAACTATCCGTATATTCGTGATCTGGCTAAACCCCCTCCCTTTCCTCTTGATACTCACTTTCAATTTCCCTTACCTCGTTCCCAAATGTAGGATAACGAACCTTTATCCTGGACTGGTTAACCTTCCTACCTTTTCTCCTCTACCATTTTATCTTCATATTTTATTCTAAGGCTCTCTTTCTGACATGTGCCCTTACAGCGTCGCTCTCTGACGGTGTTCATGACGTGGAACTGGCTGGAATTTTGTCTAGTCCTGATTCTTTTTTTTTGTCCCAATTCAAACCCAAATTTTCCTGCTCCTGTGCGGGCAAACTATCCGTATATTCGTGATCTGGCTAAACCCTCTCCCTTTCCTCTTGATACTCACTTTCAATTTCCCTTACCTCGTTCCCACATGTAGGATAGCGAACCTTTATCCTGGACTGGTTAACCTTCCTACCTTTTCTCCTCTACCATTTTATCTTCATCTTCTATTCTAAGGCTCTCTTTCTGACATGTGCCCTTACAGCGTCGCTCTTTGACGGTGTTCATGACGTGGAACTGGCTGGAATTTTGTCTAGCCCTCATTCTTTTTTTTTTTGCCCTAGTTCAAACCCGAATTCTCCTGCTCCAGTGCGGGCAAACTATCCGCATATTCGTGATCTGGCTAAACCTCCTCCCTTTCCTCTTGATACTCACTTTCAATTTCCCTTACCTCGTTCCCACGTATAGGATAGCAAACCTTTATCCTGGACTGGTTAACCTGCCTACCTTTTCTTCTCTACCATTTTATCTTCATCTTCTACTCTCTGGCTTTCTTTCCAGCTGTTGCTATGGAGTCGCCGTCAAAGTGTACCGCTGACAACATTCTCTCACGTTATTCGCAAACAAAACGCTGTCACTCGAAAGGTATTCATTACAATAGTTTATATGACAGTGGCGTAACAAAAAGACAAACATTACAGACGAGACAACAAGGTCCTTATTACTTCGTCTCTCGTCGTTATTTTTCTGTGCTTCACTTCAGTGGAATTTCATCTTTGGCCCAATTACACAGCAATGTATTTTCTCAGTCTTGATAGCGTACTCAAACGTGGTGGCATTGTGTTGTTTTGTACAGTCGGCTCGCTCTCGTGAGCTTTTCATTTTCAACTTATGCGTACGCTGGTACTCAAGCAAATCAGTTTTGCGTGCAACGTTAGAACGCGCTAAGCCATTTAAATATTCGTATTACCTAAAGTACGTTTTCTGTGTGTGTGTGTGTGTGTGTGTGTGTGTGTGTGTGTGTGTGTGTGTGTGTGTGTGTGTGTGTGTGCGTGTGCGTGTGGTGTGTGTGTGTGTGTGTGTGTGTGTGTGTGTGTGTGTGTGCGTGTGTGTGTGTGTGTGTGTGTGTGTGTGTGTGTGTGTGTGTGTGTGTGTGTGTGTGTGTGTGTGTGTGTGGTGTGTGTGTGTGTGTGTGTGTGTGTGTGCGCGCCTAAGTGGATGTCAGTTTCATAGTGCAGGTACACCGCCGATTTTAAAGAGCACGCAGAGTTACCTACGAAAAGTTAACGCTTGTGTAACTTAGGTTGATCTGAACACAGCTCAAACAGTCTTTAATGAGTAGATGTAACAATAATGTGGGGGGAGGGGGAGGAGCAGAGTGATTTCGTGTTTTTTAACCCAAAACTATCGAGTGAGTTTGGAATGAAGCCTGAAAAAAATATGCTGAAGTGAAGTGACCATTAGTAGTGTCTGTGACTGACGCAAGACAATCTCCTTTTCAAAACAGAGGCGAGGTTGTTTTTAATCATTCAGGTTTGGCTGCAACTATGCCCGCTATATGTCCATGATTCTTAAATGATATGAGGTATGAGTATATAATTTCTTTTTATTTTTGCCGTAACAACTATGTTGAGCATGCTATCAGCACGGGATGTATCAAAATGCACTAGAGTAATATGTCAGTAAAAGTGATGATAGACGACATAAAATGTGCATCAAGATTATGTAAATTTGTCATCGATGCATCACTGAAATGCTATTCGAACTGGACATGATAACTGATAGCAGCAAATCTCTATAAAAAGGAAATGTTCAAACGTGTCAGTTGCTGCCTAAATTTATAGCTATATTTTTGACTAGGGCATTACTGACACGTTGTATCACACATAAAACCTGAGGCTAATGGGCCGGACTTCCTTGCAGTACGCAACACTTTAAAAGTGCGACAAACTGATTTCGTCGGGCCTGTTTTTGATCATCTACACAGTGACTATAGTTTCTCAGCTCTCTGGTCCCCGCAGGTAATCCCAGAGGCTTTCGAATTCAAATATGGCTGTGCCACCATACTCTTTCGGAAGTAAACTTCGTGGTACTTCAGCGTGCAGGCTTTCGAAGTCTTCGCCGTGAACGTTGAACTGCAGACCAAAAAAAAAACATAATTAAGGTTGAAGAAACAAGAAACATTTTGGTGAGCAGGAACTTTGGGTTGCAAACATTGGGCCTGGTTTGGAACGCCGTGGTTACTACACCACTGAATCAGAAATAAGAGAGCATGGAAAGATGATTGAATGTCAAAGAGATTAATCACAAATAGACACTCTCTAATAAAAAAGTGTGTACTTTGAATGTCGTTTGTAAATTATGACTTGCCATGTATGTGACTCTCCTTAAGGAAGCTCGGATGTCTCTTTGTAGATTATTAAACTCTAGTCAGTGAGTCATGGCACCCAGAAGAGAGTGAATATGTATTGTTTAAGGAAGACATATACGTGGCAAGGCGGTATTCCTGAAAAAAGTAAGACCTTTTTTTATTTTTGTTAGAGTGAACTAATTCATTGTGAAATATCAAAGGGAAAAGCAGTTATGCAAGAATGAAAGAGAAGACTGGATGATGAAAGCGTAGAACCATAAAAGTGTCTGACCCTGGAAACTTCGTCCTTGCTCAAAAAAGGTTTCAGCACTGAAAAGAATATGCTGAATGCTCTTGGCTGCCTCAGAACATGTGCCTTCGTGATCTCTAGTGGTAGGCCATCCTGAGAGTTAGAAGACATTAGGAATGTTCACTACTCCAATTACAATAGTTTTGGCGTGCGCTTCTGTGAGAGCCATACAGATAACTGTGATAAAAAAAAAAGATTGAAATTTGGTCACTCGTACGATACACGTTTGTGCAAATTTCAAAGCTCGTGAGATATCCCAAAAATCGTCTCAAAAGCGTGCCCAAAGCGTCAACTGAGCACCCGTTCAATTGGCTTCTTATTTTGCATTCACCTTCTTCAGCATGTCGAACGAGCTAACACTCCATATTTGCAGCAATTGATATTTGTTGTGTATTTCTAGTTTCCTGAAGGTGTCTTCATATGTTAATGGTGTAGTGAGTGCAAAGGGTTACTTAACTTTTTTTTCAGTGATCGTTACACGGGCATTGGCTATATGCAACCCTAATCAAACGGCGCTCACGACTCTTTAAATACAACTTGAATGAGAGTAATTACTCAAAATGACTAATATTTTGGCTTAAGTAGTTACAGCAGGAAATGCACCTACTTAATTAAATATAGCTCACTTAACACCACGTGGTAACCCCTCGATCATCCAGACCAACGTCTTTGAAATGGTATATATATTTAAAAAAATCAAATGCGACCTAAGTAGGAGGAATCAACTTTTATGAAAACCAGCAGTTGATTTGGCCGGGCTTGACCTACCACACGACGACATCGAGTTCTTGCCTGCTCTCCACCTCGCAGGCTTGCTGGGTGGCAGAAAGCTGACCGCCAAGGTGGGAGTTGTGCTTGGCGGCATGCCATTTCGACGAGAGGGCCTCAGTGTTGATGAACGGGTATTTAGGTTAACATTCACGCAGAATATGCGGGAGCGAAGCTACATGTATACTTTACAGATCCTACATCTATGATTGGGATAAATGTCTTGGTATATTTTGTTGTATTCATACATCAACGGATACGCGTTTGTCTGTAACAGGCAGAGTATGGTTGCCTGTGCTCTATTTAGCTAGTGATCAGGGGTTGGGAAAGTTCTTCTTTCGAGATAAATGGCTTCGTGATGTCATTGTAGCTGGTGATACGATCGCGTTCCACAAGTACCCCTACGCTGTTTCCTATACGCTTGACTAGGCCTCGTGCTACGGAGTGGGCGACTTCGTTGATGTTGGTGAGGTGCGGATAAACGTCGCTGTCATCAGTATTTTATTTGATTGTGACCAATGCGCTGGTTCGAGCAGCGCATAGCCATCTCACGGAAACTGCGCAATGATAGTATCAAATAACCCAGCGAATGGTGAAATCTTTGCATTGGGCTTACCCAAAAACAACAAAACTACGTTAGCCTTACAGGTGCCTAACGTCTACTTTCGGTTTCATTGATGCGTAACTAAGAAAGATTTTTTTCCGGCGCTAGACAGTCGTTCGTGCATTTTATTTGAAATGTGCCCTGTTTGGTGTCTCATTGAAGGTTTCCCAACGAACGCCTTGCCGCTAATTTATTGTACTGCTTCGCGTTTTCACGTGATTACATCTGCGACGTTCCTTGGAGCTGTGGCAAACCATTTGCCCGCTGTTCAGGCAATGTTTTTTTTTTTTACAAATGAGGGTTCTTTTTTTACTCTCGGTGTACCGAGTATTTCCCTCACAATTCGTCGGTATTAAAGTTTCAAGTTTGTCTTTTTTCCTCATACAAAAAGAGGAGAAAGAGCTAAAGGCTATGTTGCCTGACTGATGCGCATAGCTCTTTGCGCATTTGGCATGCATGTGCTATCGGCCTCGAGAGAAACCCGAACACAGGCAAGCATTATAAATGGTATAGCGCACGCCGTCAGGAGCGCAGCCGTCTGGTCTGGCGGCACTGCGCATGCCTATGGCGATGACTGGATGGCGCGCACTATACCATTCCTAAGCGCAGTGCGGGTTTCACTTGATTCCGATAGTACAGTACCTGTAAATAAATTACCCGAGTTTATAGGTAACGAAAATAACCTGTAGTATGCGAATAGCTTTCTTGGCAAGGCCCATTTCACATGCCAGACTCTTGGAGAAAGACCAGCCACCAAAATCGAGAATGAAACAGATGCCGACGTCTTGGGTCGCCGGATCACGGGAGAGTTGCTCTAGCCACAGGTTGAAAGGCTCGCTGTATCCGGTACTGGGGGAGCGATGAGGGATCCCAGGCACCTTGATAAATAGAAGCAATGAAGAAGCTCCGTCTGTCTTCTCGGCTCCTAGTCTGCTAAACTTAAGCAGTTATCATTTTTAAGCGCTTGTAGCGTGCGAAGTTATGAATCGTGGGATGTCAACAAAGGTACGATTCGAAGCGTTCAACTCAAAAGTAGTCTCGGAAAGTACCAATGCCGTATCACAAACAGTAGCAAATGCTTACGTGAAAAAGAAGCATGAACACGCCACGTTTCTTCATAGGAAAATAATCAACATGCATGTTGAATAGACTGAGCATTTCTCCGGTGAAATTTAGGAACACATAACCATCGTAACGATTCCACAACAAGCGTGACCGCATAGCTAAGTAAACTACAGCCCTATGCTGTCAATGGGCTATCTCCTACCAAACCTGCAAAGAATTTCCGACAAGTTTTTTTGTGATATACTAAATAACAAACAGCTCTTCAAGGTGAAAACGCAGTTATGCGAGACGTCATTGCTCTATTGGATTTATTCTGAAGTCTACGAGTCCTCTGGGGTTTTCTCGAAAGAATAAGAGATTGTTGTTCGCAGAAGTTAGTTTTGCCTTCCCTAATTTACGCTCATCAAAATCTCCTTGGGAACACTTACCGAGCTTCAACAACAATATTGGTCGTCCGTGACTATCCTTGCCAGGCAGCGCTGCAACAAGGTTTCGCGCTTGTGATTCAATTTCTTCCGATGCCTTCAAGTTCTTTAAAATTTTGGGACAGGAGCTTCTGCGTCTGTAGTACGTTTGGGTCTTCTCGAGCGCTGCCTTGACGTCAAACTTTGTGAATTTTAGAAAGGGTAGTAAGAATACGGTGTCCCTTCTTGCACTGCCCCGGGCGTCATCTGCCAAGCGGAAAAGAGCACGAAAAAGGAACTTGAAGTAATCTTTTTGAGCTGCTTTCATTTCTTGTATGCATTACTGATCTTATACAGCCTAATAATTTAATGTAAACAGTGTTAACCATTGTTTGGCCAATAGACCATGCACTCGTCTAGACTTATTGTATATGTCTCTCTGCGATAAATAGCGGCGAAAATAGACCAAAGTAGCCGTAATGCTGAATACATCATAATAAATGAATACATCATTCTCAACAGCAAAAACATTCTTATTGAAACTTGCCAGTGCGTTTAGGTAGTGGTGATCCCGTGGCTTTGGAGTGTCACAATAATGATGCTCAGTAGGACGGTAAGAGCTGCGCAGTGCTGCAAGAGGTAGGGCAAGAGCGAAGAATGTTGAGGCTCGGAAAAGGGGGGGGGGGGGGTCGAACCTTCAAGAAACGCGCCGAAATGGTTGAGGTTGAAGGTCCGCAGAGTATAACAGACCGTGTCAGCGTAAGTGTTCAGGTGTTCGCTATTTCAAATGGGCAACTTTTCTCATTCTCCTCGTGAAGTCGCGCGACCTTAGCGTCAGCGAAAACTGGCGCTGCAATGGGCACTACGTCGCTGAGCCAACCGCTATGTTCAATCAAGAGAGGCTGAAGCAAAAAGCGAACACTTGAAAAATATAAATTTATGACAAAGCCTTAAGGAAAGGGGCATCAGCTTCTCTGTTTTGACAGCATTTGCGAGGTAGAGCTGCCTGATGTTGGTCGAATGTTAATAGGCGTTGCACACAATTTCACTACGTGGTGTCAAGTATTCAAATGTCTTCTCGTGAATTCCGAAGCGCAGTAGCCTGAGGATACTTTATTGTGGTAAAACAGGCAGTGTGTACTATGTGCGTTCCCAAATTCTTACAGTCAGTTCTATGTTCTAGTAAACCCCCTAGGCTCGCGTATGGCGTCTTCGCTTTGATACCGAAGGACTTATGCGTAATCTCGACTAATATTGCCATTCGCTATACGTCTCTGTATGGCTCAAGATACCAAACTCACTCACCTTTAAGAAAATGCCTCAGTTCATCCAGGGCTGTTCTCTCATTGTCAGAATCTTTCACGTGCCGTTCCCTCATATTCCTCCCCCCGCAGCCACCATTGATTTGCTGACTTGCACTCCCCTGATTTTCCTGTGACTTCCTCTTCTTAGTCATATCTACTGTAAACTGCGCTTCCCCTGCGAGCTCCAAGTACGACGTCGGGCAAACAGCGTTCCTCTTTCCGCCAAACAGAGTCTCCGTCGCTATACGTCATCGCTTATAAACGTTGCGAGCGCAACTGAAAGCAGGAAAGCCGGTTTTCGCTACACAAAAGGAAAACCTCCACTCGTAGCACCAGTTCACCAGCGGTTGTGTACAATCACGTATGCGCCAAAACAAACAGGTCTCCATTGATTACATAGAGAAGCAATGTACATTCAAAGGAAAGTGATCGTGATCGTTTTTGGAAGGGAACTTGTATTTCTGATATTATTTTCATGGTCAAAATGCTTTATTCACCTGCCACCAGCAGTCTTACAACTGTCGCACGAAATAAATGATCGGTTTCACGCTCTGTCAAATTCCGTCTAAGCATCAAGCATCAGTAAATGGTCCACGAAGCAGAAGCAAACGCCTGTATTTTCCTTACATTACCACCTCTTTTTTGCTCTTTTCTATCATGACTAGCTCAGCCTATTTATGAGAAGTATTATGTGAATGTTGACTTTAGAATTCTCTTGAGTTGCGTTTAGAGAAATGTAGTGGCTTAAATCTCTACTGGTTATAAGAGAACTTTTTTTTTACCATTTCATTTACTTGGATCTGCCATATTGGTCTAGTGGTTATGGCAATAAACTGCTGACCCGCAGATCTGGGAATTGAATCCTAGCTGCCATGGCTGCATTTTGGCGAAAATTCTCGAGGTCCATGTACGCCATGTCAGAAGTGTCGTATCAGAAGTGGAGGGCTTGTTATCCAATATATAGGAAAGGTGGAAGTCTCTGAAGACGTGTTCATCCGTCTCGCGTCGTCTATTTGGCATCAGTTTACCTACTTTGTCGATACTTTCTTCCTGCAGCTCATGTTACTCGCAAAACCTTCTTCGTGAACGTAACCTCGCCATTTATTTGATGTTCAGAAACCCACTTGCACAGAGCGCTGGCGTTTGCGACAAAAATAATTTTCGTAATCCGCCTAGACTTGTAAAGAACGCTGTTTTTCTTTAATAACTGTGTTAATACTGGCACTTTCACCGGGTTCTCTTGTGACAGCAACAAACTCATTTAGCACCGCTAGCCTTGCTTCTTTCGTAAAACTCTAGATGTTCGAGCTGCAGCAATCCGGAAACTCAGTCGCACTTTCAGTGGTCATCGCGCACTGTTCTTGAGCGGAAGTAGGAAGACAGAGAGGATAAACATTGAAGGAATGTAGGGAGGTTAACTAGAGCTGAGCCCGAAAGGTTACCCTTCACTGGGGAAGGGGGGAAAAGAGAAGGAAAGTTATAAAGGAGGAGATAAAAGTCGCTGTTTCCATCGATATAAACGCAGTTCCGCGTTTGACATTACCCACGTTCAATCAGTCCCGTGGCTTATAATAATGTAGTGCGTTTGTTTCTTTATGTGACTTGTATGCGTGGTCTCATGCACTCGATATTTTGTCGATGGTGAAGTCACGCTGATGCTCCTAGTGTGATCAGGCAGTAGACTTGTGAAAGCTTTCGGGAACTTGAGATGAATTCTAGCAGATGCAACATGCTTTACACCATCACTGTCTGCATCTTGCTCAGCAGCACTCGAATAGGACCATGCCGGTGAGTTGCCTATCTTCATCCGTCAAACGGTGAAGTACAAACGGTTATTAGTACGGAAAGCAATGTAAACGTTCTGGGTGCTGCGCATCGTCGACGCATGCATCACCAATACTAATTTTTGGCGCACACATCTCTGTTGGCCTCAAACTATTTTACTTGTCGGCACCACTTTGATAGTCCTGAGGCATCAAATCAAACAAGCGATCTAAATAATATATATATATATATATATATATATATATATATATATATATATATATATATATATATATATATATATATATATATATATATATAAATTGTAATGAATTAATGAATCTGAGTAACGGACGCTCTGCTGGCAACGAAGAAGACGATGATGATCGGTGGCTGCAGTAGTAGCTCGCGCACGCCGCTCGCCATTAGCCAGACCTGCCTGATAAAGGACATTTCGCCAAGCTACGTCTGAACCTTTCTCGACGTACAACACCTCTATTTTAAGTGGTGGAGGAGCCGGGGTTCCCATCAACCTGGAACTTCGCAATCGGACGCTACCCTCACCGTTCACCATGACTGCTCCTGGCCCTTCTCAAGCTGCCTCACCAACGACAGTCTACTGTACTGGCGCGCCTCGGCAACGCGACCCACCAATTTTTCGCGGCAACGATGAACAAGACGTCGAGGACTGGCTCGTCGAGTACGAAATTGTAAGTGCTTCCAACAAGTGGAACGCCTGCGACCAGCTCACAAACGTGCGCTTTTACCTCGCTGATGTGGCCAGCCTCTGGTTCAAGAACCACCAAGGCGAAATTACCAACTGGTCCGCCTTCAAGACCACCATCTCCGCGGTCTTCGGCCGTCCCGCCGTGCGCCGGCATCGCGCGGAACAGCGTCTCCGTAGCCGAGTCCAGCGCAGGGACGAGATCTTTACGAGTTACATTGAAGATGTCTTGTCCCTTTGCAAGCGCGTCGATGAATCTCTAACCGAACGCGACAAAATCAAGCACATCATCAAAGGAGTTGACGACGACACCTTCCAGATGCTCGTCGCTAGGAATCCACAAACCGTCACCGATGTTGTTCACCTCTGTCAGGAGTACGACGAGTTGCGTAAGCAGCGTGTCTCGACGCGCAGGGCCGCAGAAGATACGGCTGAAGTTTCCGCCCTTGTACACGACGTCGCTGCTGATCACACCGTCTTACTCCCCCAAATCAAACAATTCATTCGTGAGGAAGTTGCGCGTCAGCTTTCTCTTGTGGCCGAAGCATCCGCGCCAGTGACCTCGTTAGACCCACGTCTACGCCAGGTCATTGAGACACAGGTCACGCAAGCACTGCCTCCATCGCCACCTGTCCCTACGCCGCTGACTACGCTGCCATCGTTGCTAGACCCCCAGCCCCACCTGTCTCTGGCGCATACCGGGGCACCGGGTCCTCCTACCCTACGACGCTGCCTACATACACGGCACCCCATCCCGTTTCGCCCCCTGCACCTTCTGTCGTTAACCCATGGCGCACCTTGGATAATCGACCCATCTGTTTCGCATGCGGTTTCGTGGGACATATAGCACGCTACTGTCGCCGTCGCAACTTCCAGCCTCCAGACCATGGGAATTCTGCAAATTACCAGGCTGCCCAGAATCCCCAGCGACCATCTTCTCCTATCACCGACTCATTGTCCCCACGACGCCCCGTCGATTCTCGCCGGTCATTACCACCCCGTCGCCGATCTGTCTCCCCGATGCTTCGGCGCACGAGCCCCGCTCGAGAGGAAAACTGACAGCCGCAGTTCCGGAGGCAAGAACTGCGTCGTCGTCGAATTTTCCCAAGACCTCCTCTTTGTCCGCCCAACGAAATTGATGTGCTAGTAGAAGGTGTTGCTGTACGTGCACTTGTCGACACAGGCGCCGTCGTTTCTGTAATTAGTGAAAAACTGTGTCGCGATTTGAGAAAAGTTACAGCGCCGCTTACGAATCTTGCTCTGCGTACAGCAACCTCCCATTTCATCGCGCCGACAGCTCAGTGCACAGCACGCGTTCTTATTCAAGATGTTTGGTACGCCGTCAACTTTGTTGTTCTCCCACGTTCATCTTACGACGTGATACTAGGTTGGGATTTCCTTTCTACCCATCAGGCCCTCGTCGACTGCGCTCGTGCTGAACTCACGTTGACGAATCCGTGCCTTGATATCGACCACCACAGTCCCTCGAAAGTGTTTGCCGCAGCTGACGTCCGCATCGCGCCGTTGTCGCCGTCCTAGTGACTGTGTTTTCCCCTGCTGCCACTAATTCGACGCTCCTGTTCCAACCAACTATAGCTAGTGTGCAACACCCAACCATCGTCCTCCCGTTTGCCGTCATCAACTTTTCCAATGGTTCGGCGGTACTTTATGCGTGCAACGTTTCTGCTTGCCCGTACATCCTGCTACGCGGTGAGTGTCTGGGAAGCCTCGAGACCTTAAATTGTATTTTCGAAGACCCGATTTGTCCAGACAAGCCATTTCTACCGACTTGTGCCATTACACCCGCAACTGACGCTAATGAACCTATGGATGTATTCCGCAAGTCCATCGATTGTAACCTCACGCGTGGGCAGCAGAAACAGCTGATCAAGCTCCTACAGCGTTTTCGAGCCTTGTTTGACCACAATCAGCCTTCCTTAGGTCGAGCGTCATCTGTTGTACACCGTATAGATACCGGTCAAGAGACGCCATTACGGCAGCGTCCATATCGTGTGTCAACTACCGAACGCCGTGCCATCAATGAACAGGTTGACGACATGCTGACACGTGGCATAATCGAACCGTCAAGCAGTCCCTGGGCCTCTCCAGTTGTGTTGGTGAAAAAGAAGGACGGATCCATCAGGTTTTGCGTGGACTACCGGCGTCTCAACCGAATCACGCGCAAGGATGTCTATCCGCTGCCACGCATTGACGATGCCTTGGACTGCCTACAGGGAGTCGAATTTTTCTCTTCTTTAGATCTCCGCTCTGGATACTGGCAGGTACCCATGGCAGAGGCCGACCGTGAAAAAACTGCTTTCATCACGCCCGACGGGCTTTACGAATTCACAGTGATGCCCTTCGGCCTCTGCAACGCGCCAGCTACTTTCGAGCGGATGATGGACTCTATCCTTCGAGGCCTCAAATGGAACGTTTGCCTTTGTTATTTAGATGATATTGTCGTCTTTTCAACTGATTTTGCAACCCATTTAACCCGCCTCGAGAAAGTCCTCGCGTGTATTTCTGCCGCGGGGCTGCAACTGAATCTGAAGAAGTGCAATTTCGCCGCTCGAAAGCTTACGATCC